TTCCCATAAAAAATGATTATTTTTATAGTTAACCCAAATATTGGTCACCTCTGCTATCGAATGGTATTAATAATGTCATCCTTTTGGATCGAGTGACACATACGAATACTAAACACTATTCTCACAGCATTTTCTTGTTTCCAATGAATTAAAAAAGAATTCCCTCTTTCTTTGTCGACACAATCTACTTGTAATCCGTGAGATTTAAATAAAAAAAATATCGGATAAAACTAACAATAACAACAATAATTATAGCTAACAGCTTAAACTCAATCAACCTGAATATCAAACAATACCGCGCTCACCTTTCAGACACACAAACCCACTAATACAGCAACCAATACCACCACTACAAGCTCGGATTGGTGAAGAATTTTTTTGTCGTTCCTTTTATTTAAATTTCGCATCACCTGAAACCACTTTATGCGACGTAATAAAAAATGTCATTTTGACACTTTTGACATGCCATAAATAGTGACAGCAATTTAATTGTCAGTCACTCCAATAAACCATACCAGAGACGGGTGAACCAATGCAACAATATGTACGAGGAGAAGGAGAGGTGGATGTGGCCAGTAATATGTCATATCCATTTAAAGGGGCGGTAGAATTCGGTGTAGAAGAGCGGTATTGAAAACTCCAAAGTTAAGCTTAATCAAAAATGTTTTCTCTCTAAATACGTTTGCGTCACACCAGAAATTGAACAATCTGCCATTTGTGTGAGTGTGAAATATTCCCAGCAAACAAAAAAATTTCATAAATTCTAGCTTGTTTCAGTTTTTGAAGAAAAACATTAATTGAAACAAGTAAGCAAAGGCTATAGTCGTGCGGGGCCGACCATGTGATACCCTACAACACTACAATATGTTAGAAGCTCCCTTATGTCGAAATGCATTTTGGAAGATTTCGATTTTGACATTTTGTCACGGAGCACTGGCCAGATATTACCCTTAGCATTTTGACCAAGGACATTTGCCCAATATTAACGCACACCGTCGTGCTGTTAGTTGTTGTGGTCCATTTTACAGCTATATATAATCCAATGGTCATCCAAAATGCTAAACTCCTTCCCTGTCCTGAACTCTCTTTTCACGCAAAATTCCGTGTCGATTGGTTTCAATTTCAATTAATTTGTCTACTATATTTGGCTCTGTCTACTATATTTGGCTATATTCGTCAACGAAATCAGCATAAAAAGTATGTGTATTTGGATATCGCCTGCAAGTAATGTTGGTATTTTTTACCCGCTGTAGAATGGATCTTCGTGTCCTTTGGTTTCTATTTGTGACCTTTATAACGACTGCAAAATCAGGAACATTTTTAGTTGTTGGTCCATTTCAACCCCCAAATATATTGCGGACATCTTTAAAACCAATAGGCCTAGCTCTTTTGAGCCTAACCCTGCACTTATGAAAATTTTCGTGAGGATTGGACGATAATTGCAATCTGTATATAATAACCCCAACCTGTGTAGTAAGGTGAAAAAATATTACAAAATATACACTTCAATATTATAAGTCAAATTGAAAAAATCGCATGCGATAAAAAATATGAAAAAATAAAAAAAATGTCACAAAATACTACAAAACCTATATTGACATCTTTTTATTCGATTTTTTAGATTTTATATTTTTATGCCAAGAGGGTATTCTGAATTGACAAAATTTGTCAAAATCGGTCCAGCCATTCTTGAGATATAACCATTCTAGCTAACATCCCCTTCCCTTGTATATACACATTGTATATATTTCGCTATATATATCCGATATATTTACTATTGGCATCTACGTAACGGTCAGAATTGACTTGTTCGACTATTTGTGATTTCGCCGGGATTTAAAATATTCGCGGTTTAATAGAAATTTTGACTTTTATTTAACACAAATGCTGTGGTCTGTTTCACCCACTAAATATTAAACGATGACCATCAAAATTGGAAGACTTCTAGCCCCCCTAAGCTCTAGCTCCATGCTAACTTCCGCTTCGATTGGTCCATTATTGCGACCTGTAGAGCAACTGCAAAATCAGGAAATTTTTCAGTTTTTGGTCCATTTCAACCCCTAAATATTATGCTATCATCTCCAAAAGCAATAGGGCTCTATTCTGCTCATAACCCCACCTCCATTTTCAATTTCGTGAGGATCGGACTATAATTGCGACATGTAGAGTGATTACAAATTAACATGGACAGACAGACAGACGGACGAACGGACATACATAGCTAGATCGACTCAGCTCGGCGAGATAGGAAGATCCATATATACTTTCCTCTGTGGGAAACCCATATTTCGAGGTGTTACATAATTTCTGGCCCAATCAAACTTATAATACCCCCAACACATAGTGTTGTAGGGTATAAAAATCATATATTGTCATGCAATAAATGAAAAACATTTGTACATTATATGAATAGTATGAATTAATGAACAATGTTCATATATCTTAATACATTGTTTCTTGTGAGAGTAAGCGAGAAACAAACGTTCCAGCAGATCTTTCGAATGTTGCTCAAAACTGTGTCCTACGCAAAAACTTTGCGGTACATAAAAATACTAAAACTAGTATGCAGAACCTATTGCCAGTGTTGGATTTCTGTAATTTCTGTTCATAGAACATGATGGTGATCGTGAGCGGAAGAGAGACCAAACACGCATTTCTGTTATTGGTAACAAATGTGAGATAAACGCACAACGATTAGATTTAAAAATAAATTGTCTCATTTAATTTTTCTTGGTTTCTATATTCTTTTACGGTTTTATAAATGTCAATACAGGGCGAGATAAAAAACTGCAACAAAATCAAACGCCATAACTATTACATTGTTTTTAATTTTTAATTGAATTAAAGCAAACAACATTGGAAATAGCATCAAATTTTAGAATAAGTTCAGATTTGTTCGAATTGGTCACATTTGGCACGAATTATGACCTTCAAAAGGCCAATAAAACCGTTACACGCTTCCCGAATGTTGCTCTGCGGTATTTTGGCCAGTTTCCGGCGAAGCGCTTGCTTGAGGTGATCGACACTTTGGTATTTTTAAGTGCCAACCTTGTTCCCAAAATACTCCAGACACAATAGTCCACCGGATTGGTATCCGGAGATTTTGGTGGCCACTGTGCGCTGAAAATGAAGCGATGAACCTAATTTTGTAACCATACTTGGGTGGCGCGTGCTGAGTGCCATGGTGTTGACTCCTGTTGGAATGTCCAAGGTCTGCGGCTAAAATGTTTGCGTGTCCAAGGCTTTAATACACCCTCCAGAATATTTTCGTGATAATATTCGGCATTTATTTTGACGCAATGGTCGATTAATACGAGCGGAGAGCGACCATCGGCTGTTATGGCGGCCCACGCCATCACCATGGCCGGCGCTTGAGTTCTGGTAGCCAAACGAGGGTGCACATTTTAAGCTGACCTCTTTGGCAAGTAAACGCGATCATTTTGTTTTTTTACAAGCTGCTTTACAACAAATTTTTTATAATCGGAGAAAACCAAATTCGGCAGTTCAACCTTTTTGGCCGAGCGAAGCAACTCTTTAGCTCTTTTGAGTCTATTTTCTTTCCGATGCGGTGTAAGTTCTTGCACTTTTTGGAATTTCAATGGCTTTACTCCGAGCTAATTTTTTAATATTTGCCGAATGGAACATTGCGATATTTCCAGCTCAGGAGATATTTTTTCGGCCAATGCGACGCGGGTCGCTTCTTTACTTTTCGAACCATTTCTGCTGATGTTGCTGTTTTCTTCCGTCCACTTCCTTGACGTCGGGCTACGCTACCAGTATCACGGTAACGGGCGATGGTACGAGACACAAAAAATTTATTCACATTTAAATGCTGGAGTGCTCTAACGATAGCCACTTGTGGTTTTCCAGCCAAATATAAAGAAATCACACTACCACGCTTGAATTCCATCACGAATAACTTTTTTTCTGGAAAACTCTCACCAAAATACTTTTGTACGCTTGCAAACAATATAATAAGCTGTCACTGGAATAATTTTAACAGCTGTCGGACGAGTAGCTTAGAAATGAAAGCAGTCTGAATTTGGTTGCAGTTTTTTCATCTCACCAGTAAACCATAAATGTTCAATACTTTCCTCATTGATCTTTTTCTTAAATCCATCAGATTCGGTACGGCCTGTAATCATAAGAGAGAAATAGAGAGAGCGAGTATAAAAATATAGGAAAGCCGAACTAGCGGGTGTTTCAGAACAAGCGGCAAATTTCTTTTAATTTTTGTTAAACAACCAACTAATTTATGTATGATTCATTTAATTCTTTTAAAAATTAGCTTGTCATCAAGTTTTTTTCATCAACGAAATCATTATTCTTAGAGAATTTAGTCCAGTCCGACAAATATATCAAACTTTGTAATTGATATCGTTCTTAAAATCTAAAGCATATTTTCAATTTTTATCGGAAACATAAAAATATTGTTTGCTGGGTGTATGCACAGTATACACATACATCTTGAGATCGCAGATACATTGTATTCGTTGGATTTGTTACCGTTGCAACACAGTCATTCCATTTGATTGTCATAAATATTGACAGAATATCTCAGACATTTTGTTGTTCATCGACACTTATTTAAATCTCTCCATAAAGGTCCACATGCTTTAAGTCAAGTTTACACAGCTAATGCGATTAATGTTTTTTGGCCGGTTATATGCAGATGTGTTACATTTTTACACAGTAAAATGGTTATTATTACCATAACCTGAGTTAAAAAATTCTTTCTTCATCTCTGATATTGTAACATTTACCTTACGACATTGAAAAAATTGTAAAGTCATCCCAGTAAAGAATATTTAATGATAATCGGGTTCTGTGGGAAATGGTGTGGAATAAAAATTATTTTCGCAAAATCAAGAAAAAAAAATTTTTTTTTTCGATCTTACATTGTATCTCTATGACTTGTAATCTAGCTTTTTGCCGATAAACGCCTATCGCTACAGAAAACTAAAATTTTCCATTTCTCCTCTGTTTTTTTCCCTTTACAGATATCACAACAAACAAACCAAAACAATTTGGCAACAAGGTTACAAGGCAGTATTAGAAATTCACCCCTCCAACTGTAACAAACAAAATGCTGATTGTGGTTCTAAAACCCACTAAACAATTCATAGAATTTTTAAATATTGCTCAAAACCAACCGCAACAAAAAAAGTCAAATCGACAACAACTGCAAAAACAAAACAATACAATAAAACAACAGCAACAACAACGAACAACATTTCTAGTCTTGCAGAAAATTGCTAACAGCAAATATCGTTTTAATGAATATTAATCAAGAAAAACAACAGCAGCAGCAACAGCAACAGCAACATCAACAAAAACATTACCAACAACATCAATTCTACCATCACCAGCAGCATCATCACGAACCACAACAGTCCACCACATTGAACGGATTCCAACCGCGACACACAACGGCCGCAACACAACATTCATCATTGGCGACCCTTAACAATACGACCGACTACGAATTGGAATATTTGAAAAAAGCGCATGCGCATGCACAGGCAACATTGGCCTACAGCTACGAACGTCAGTTGCAACAGCACCACCAACATCAACAACAACAACTGGAAGCCCAACAACGACAACAATTAGCTTCTCAACGCACGAACCTCGAACACGAATATATTGACAAGTGCAGCACCCCCAACACCACCTACAGCATTCACCAACAGTTTGTTACCGCCGCCGCCGCGAGCTCTACCGCTGCCCACCATTCATCGTCGTCGGTTAACTACTCCATGGTTATGTCACCAAGTCGGCGACCTTCGCCACCTAGAGCTGCTGCACATCCCATGAATATGCATTTAAGCGCCATGGCTCATGCCCAAATGCAGTTTCAGTTGCAACAAAAGCTGACGGCAGCAGCTGCAGCGGCTGGCAATGGTGGCCATGCATCATCACATGGTGGCGTTGGTCTTGCCCCACCTCCAGGTCATATGGGCGGCTATTTTCGCAATCCAGCTTCGCCCGCGGGTAGTGGGGGAACCACCTCAACAAGTACGACAACAAATACCACATCAAGTTCTAGTGCTTCCAATAGTAGTAACTCCTCATCCACGGCACCCAGTTGTGGGCCGCCCACAACCACATCCACAGCCACCATGGCCTCGGCCCACAACCCTCTGAACCACTTGCAAAGCATGCAGCCGTTTGATTTTCGAAAAATCAATTCAGCTGCTTTGGGAGCATTTCCAGGTCTTCCACCGCCGGCTCGCCTCAGTCCCAGTGAGCTGGCCCACCATCAACATTTACAGCAACAAGCTGCTCAACAGGCCGCCATGTTAGCTCAAGCCAGGCGTCGTATTAATGAGGCAACCACACCGTCGGAAAAAAATGCCGCCGTGGCAGCGGCCGCAGCTGCGGCGGCTCAAAGTAATCAATTTTTCAATGCTATGGCTATGTCGGGACATCCGCTGCCTTTTCATCTTCCGCCTCCACCACCGCTGCCACACATGCACCCACCCTCCCCGGGATCCTCGGGCAATCCTGGTCCAGGTGCAGGCCTTCCTGCAGGTTTGACCACCAATCAAGTGGCGGCCATAGCAGCGGCTGCAGCAGCCTCCGGAAATCCCATGCCTCATGGCTTTTTAACCTCGCATTTTCCCGGTCTCAACCCTGCCTTGGCAATGGGAAAACCACCACATCTTTCAAAAACTCCCGAATTGGATAAACAAAAAATGTCCGACATGAATCATTTGCGTGATTCATCGGCCTCAAGGCGAACACCGCCGTCACGTAGTTTGTCACAGTCGTCACATTCTGGCATAGCTGCGCCACAGCAGTCTTCGTCATCGGCCGCTTCGTCTTCATCGTCAACCTCATTGGGCCATCAGCAGTCTCCTAGCCAATACCAAAGTCAACGGGATCTCAGAGATCCGAATCATAGTCATCGCAATTCCCTGCAGCATGAGGCGTCTGCTGGCCCCAACCAAAACCAGAGACTTTCACGCATATCATCTTCGAGTGCAGCGCTGAGACCCGGTCGTAAGGCCCACTCGCCCGGTAAACGGCAATGGGGTTCACTGCCAGCCAATTTGGGTACACAGTTCATCAATCCGGTGACTGGCAAGAAACGTGTCCAGTGTAATGTCTGCCTCAAGACATTCTGTGATAAGGGAGCTCTGAAGATCCATTTCTCGGCGGTGCATCTGAGAGAGATGCACAAATGTACGGTGGACGGGTGCAATATGATGTTCAGTTCCCGCAGATCACGTAATCGTCACAGTGCTAATCCCAATCCCAAGTTGCATTCGCCACATCTAAGGCGAAAAATATCTCCACACGATGGACGTAGTGCCCAACCCCACCCCTTGCTGCTGCAGCCTCCAAATGGACTAATGGCAGGTCTGAATCCCTTTGGTAGCTTCCCCATGCTGACACCACCACCTGATATGCGCCATCATCCAATGGGTACTTTAGGCGATCCCAAATATAATCCCGAACTTATGCAAAGATCCTATATGGATGCCCAGCTCATGGGCCGCTACGAGGGAAGACAAATGCCCATCTCTGAGGTTATGGGTGATGATGATGAGGATGATGATGGCATGGATGGTGGTATACACATTGGCGACATAGACGATGATGATGACGACGATGATGGAGAGGGTATTGTTGTGGTCGGTGACGAAGGTGACAGTATGTTAGATAAGACAAATTCCGAAGACTTTAGCATAGAAGACACGGGAGCCGATGAGACTTCTTCAACAATGGGCGGTGGCGGTGATAACAGTCGAGATCATTTCGAACGTTCGCTATACTCCAAAACGCCCACAGAGTATTTCAAAACCAAAGATAAACCGCAGGATTCGACCAAAAAAGATGATGGCGAAGAGGATGGTCGCAGCACTGTGGAGAGACACAGTACAGAGAGCAACGATGACACGTTGAGTATTACCGATTCCTGCAGTGTAAGAGAGGAGTATGAGGGATCGTCTACGGCTCACTCGGCCCAGCACAATGCTACAAATGGCACAACGAATGCCACCAGCTCGGCTAGTAAACGTAAGCGTAAGAATCAAAATCCGGTGAGGTGTGCAGTACAATCAACTGAAAATTCCTGTGATAATTCCAATGATTATGATGTGGCGAATGATTTGGCCATGAAATCGGAGACCAGGGATGGAGAGGAACAGCGTACGGAAATCAAAGAAGAACCACGTGACGATGATCCCATGTCTTTGGATTTAACGAAACGAAGCCGCAAGACGGAAGACGCAACAAATGAAAGCACAAAAGTATTACCCTCACCGCCCTTGACACCCTCAACGTCGACTAGTGAGACAAATAGACACAATTCATTGTTAACCAATCTTCCGGTAAAATTGGAACCGCGAGAGCAAGATGAGTTGGAATGTTTGGCCAAATCCAGTGAGGATGATGTGGCAGAAAAATCCCAGAGGGAAATAGGAAAAACCTTGGATTTATCCAACAATGAAAGGCAAGAAGATAATCCCAAAGAAAATGGCCGTTTTGCCGGCCTACTAATGCCTGTTATTAAGGAAGAACCCAGAGATGAACTTGCCCACTCACCTGGTGCGAATCACGGTGACGAGGAACCCGAAGAGGAGAATCGTTATTTGAGAATTAAGAAAGAGCTTATGGATGACAATTTCAAACTGAACATATCCGCAGAAGATAACAATAATCTGCCTGAAAATTTAACCACCTCTCCCAACAACAAACCGGCAAGCATTGAAGGCAAACTGACAACAACAACGGCGGCGGATGAACAAAATGGTGGAGAATTCCCAAACGAAGATGCCGAGGTGCCCATTGACAAAGACAACCCCCTGAAGTGTACGGCCTGTGGTGAGGTTTTCCAGAACCACTTCCACCTCAAAACCCATTATCAAAATGAACACTTGAAGTTGCATCACAAATGCAACATTGATGGTTGCAATGCAGCCTTTCCCTCGAAAAGAAGTCGGGACAGGCATAGTTCCAATTTAAATTTACATCGCAAACTGTTATCGACCAGTGATAATCACAATCTGGACCCTTTGCCCGAGTCCATGATGCTCAACAATAGCAAACATTTTAATGCTCCGCCAACTGCGAACAATATTTCAACATCATTGCAGGCGGAGTTTTTGGCTCGCCTATATGCAGGAGCTCATGGTTTGCCACCCCTTAATTTCGAAGCCCTCAAACAACACTTCCCCCCAAATCAACAAACTGCAATGCCCACATTTCCCGATGCCACAGCGGCCTTTATGAGTGATCCACGGTTCTTAATGCAACACAGTGGTAATCCATTGCTGTTCTCAGGTCTTCCTGGACTACCCGGTTTTCCCCACCTATCACCTCACCTGCTGGCAGCCAGCTCGTTTAATGGTCTAAATCCATTTATGGGTCGTCGTCCGTCTTCGGAATCACATTCACCACAATCGATAACGCCACCCGTGGGAACAGTACGTTCACCCATATCCACAAATCCAAAAGCTTCCAATATCTACTCGAACAACGGTAACAGTAATATCAACAACAATGATCAGGATGTACGAAATAATCCATCTCCAACAACACCATCTACATCGGATGGCTCCATGCACCAGCACTCTTTGTATGGTAGCGGTGGTGGTGACAACACTACTAGTTCCTCTCAACAGCATACCAATCCCCAACTTTTAAATCATCATCAGCAACAACAGCATCATAATTTGTCACCGTCTGCTGATCGTACATCATGACCCTCTCCCCTACAACATCCCACATCATCATCAGCAGCATCCTCATCAGCTCATTTTCTCCCACATCATCAGATGCACTATTCCGAGTTAATGGCTTACAGACAGTAAGACTTGTAGGTTAAATAAATATATATGTATATGCTTAAAACAGATATGGTGCAATATTTAGAATTTAAAAAAAAAAGAGTTTGGTTATTTCGAGGTATGGTTGTAGAAATGATAAAGTAACTTCAACATTCACGTTCTGTATATCGAAAGAAAATATGAATGCGAAAGAAGAATTCGATGTCTGCGTGTGTTTTTCCAAATTCAAATTATTCAAATGTTTAAAATTTTAAAAATGCATGCTTAGAATGTTGTGTTTTTGGTTCGCATTAATTTTCATTCTTTATACTTTAAAGAATTGAATTGCATTAAAAAGGAATTTCACTTGTCTGCAATATCAAAATTTCGAATTATTTGGCCAGCACCGTGGTACTCCTACGTCAAAATCTGCCTCATCGAGATAAAAGGCATAGACCCTGGGTCTCTTTGGATAAAATCCGCTTTAGGATATTTGGCATCGAAATAAAACTTAAACCCCTCGATCTCTTTGGATGAAATCTTTTTCAGGATATTTTAATTCGATTTAGACAGGTAAATTTGTCTATCCCCTTAAATGCTCAGTCAATTTTGTTATGGCTGTTATGCTGATCAAGAATATATGTACCTTGTGGGGTCTTAAATGTATATTTCGAGGAGGGACTAGTGGAATGACAAATTTAATTCTTTAATTTCAAATTAGTAGGGTTTATAAATAATAGGTTCTATTGAATAATCCTGATAGATCTGGAACCAATATTTTTCAAAAACCTACGCTGTCGGGAGTGCCCTTTTCAAGTATTATTTGTGATTTTGGCGAAATGTGATTTTCAGCATCACACATATTTGCGTTTTTGATCAATATCGTCATCTATCGTCTAATATTTTTCGAATATCTCAAAAAAAAATAGCCTTCCCCTCTCTAAGACCAATATTTCAACGTGTTACAAACTTTTTTTACCCAATCAAACTTAAAATATTGTTATATACCTGAAATATTCTCTTCAGATCGTATAGTCCTTCAGTGGGTTATTTCAGTGGGTAAAATGAAAGAAGTGCGCAATGAACTTTCTTAACGGAGCACACATTTTTATTATAAAACCAGTAAGGAAAGCTCAATAGTCGGGCGGGGCCGACTATATGATACCCTACACCACTATGCATATTTAGTAGAGCTCTCGTAAAAAGGTTTATACAGGACATTTCAGAGCTCTATTAGATATTTGGTACAAAATCAAAATCTATCTAATTCTATCGTGCATTTTACGAACTAAAGCTATCTCTAAACTGGGTTTCTCCAAATTTGACGTATTAGCTTCTAGACTGAATTCGGTCTTATGTACGAAAATGCATGCCATTTGGGCTGATATTGGCCATTTGATGCACAATTAAAACGAAATCGGATGAAGATATATATGGGAGCTATATCCAAATCTGAACCGATTTCGATAAAATTACAAACAGCTATTTCTGTATCTTATATCTGGTACCAAATATCATTCTTGTGGAGTGCATATTACGAATGTGAGAGGCTTAAATACCAAATCGGATGAAACATATATATGGGAGCTATAGCTGTTTCTGAACCGATTTCTCCAAATTTGTTGTATTTGCTTTAAGGCTAATCTCGGTCACATGTGCCAAAATTCGGGCCATTTGGGCTGATATTGGCCATTTGGTGGTCAATTACCCCGAAATCGGATGAAGATATATATGGAAGCTATATCCAAATCTGAACCGATTTCGATAACATTTAAAACAGCTATTTCTTTGCTCCATCTAATACCTGGTACCAAATATCACGGTTGTGGAGTGCATAGTAGGAATGTGAGGGACTTAAAGATCAAATCGGATGAAAGATATATATGGGAGCTATAGCTATATCTGAACCGATTTTCTCCAAATTTGATATACTTGCTTCTAGGCCGAACTCGGTTGGGTGTGCCAAAATTCAGGTAATTTGGACTGATAGTGGACATTTGGTGCACATTTAACCCGAAATCGGATGAAGATATATATGCGAGCTATATCTAAATTTGATCCGATTCTCACCAATATCAATAGGGTTCGTCCTTGGGCCAAAAACATATTGTTTGGAAAATTTCATCTCAATCGGATAATAAATGCGACCTGCATTTTGTTCACAAGAATACATGGACAGACGGACGGACGGACAGACGGACTGACATGCATAAATCGACTCAGAAAGTGATTCTATGAAGGTTCTCAAAAGTAACTATGGGTCTATCTCGTTTCCTTCTCCATGTTACAAACAAATGCACAAAGACATAATACCCTTACCACTATGTGGTGTAGGGTATAAAAACAAGTAAGCAAAGGCTATAGTGCGGGACCGACCATGTGATACCCTACAACACTACAATATGTTTGAAGCCCCTTATGTCCAAATCCATATGCGATTTTTTTAGATTTTATTCTTTTATGCCAAGAGGGCATCCTGAATTGGAAAAATCGGTCCAACCATTCTTGATATATAAGCATTCTAGCATTCTATCCCCTTTCTTTGTATATATTTCGCTATATATATATATATATATATCCGATATATTTATTATCGGCATCTAAACTTGACCTCTTCGTCTATTTGTGATTTCGCCGGGATTAAAAATATTCGCGGTTTAATGGAAAATTGGACTTTTATTTAACACAAATGTTATGGTCTATTTTACCCACTAAATCTTACCCGATGACTAACTGACAAAATTGAAAGGCTTCTGCTCAGCCATACGCTCCAGCCTCATGCTAAGTTCCATGTCGATTCAGTTTTTGGTCCATTTCAACCCCTAAATGTTATGCGATCATCTACAAAAGCAATAAGCTTCGATTCTGACCCTAGCCCCACCTCCATTGCGGCCTGTAGTGTGATTACAAATTAACATGGACAGACGGACGGACCCAGCTCGGCAAGATATGTATTTTCCTTGTGGGAAACCAATATTTCGAGGTGTTAAATAATTTTTGGCCCAATCAAACTTATAATACCCCCAACACATAGTGTTGTAGGGTATAAATATTCGTTTGTGAGACGATTCATGTTTTGAAAATGTTTTATAGTGAAACAAAATACGAAAAGATCGTGGCCCCTTTAAACCAGTGTTGCCAAAAAGATAAAAGCTAAAAATCAGCCTTTATATGTCACATAAGTTTTAACACTTAACTTTTGTGGAAAATTATTCGTAATTTTAATATTGCAGGAATACAGTACTTTAAATATTGTAATTAAAGCTATTGCAACAATTTGGAAATCGAACTTTCAAACATTTTAATAAACTTAAATAATTTCCCATCAGATAATTTGTCTCCATGTCCATTAACCAGATTTATATAACCTCAAACAAACACTTCTACAGAAAAAAAAAAACATTTCTTTGAAAAACGTTTCGCATCAAACCCAATACGAATAAGAGCAAATCAATACAAAATTCAAGAGAAAAGTATTGAAGAATAAATTATTTATAAATAAATTTATGAATGTAATTCATAAACAGATAAAGTTTAGAGTAAATAAAACTTAAATCATTTAAAACAATTAATAAATATATGAATTGAAAACAAACAAATCTACAACAAAAAAAAAAAAATACTCAAAACAAATGTTTTTAACAATTGAACAAAAAAAGAGAGAATAAATAATGATAAAATATATGAATAAATACATAAAAATCCAACAAAAACAAAACACACGCAACAAATTAAGTTCAAAAGATAATTAAATGAAAAAATGATAAAACCTTATAATTAATTTGCTGATATGACCTCAAATAATTTTGACTTAATATAATAAACCTAATTTCATTGCCTAAAAATTATTCATAATTTAATTAATTTCCCTAGGAACATTCAAAATTAAACATACAAATTATATTATTTTCTCTAATCTTCTTTTGGAAAACATATATATTTTTTTTATTTAATTTTGTAAGAAAGGCTTAAGTGAAATTACATGGATATTAGTTAAAATATAAATATATATAGAATTTTAATATAAATAGAAGTATAATTATTGTAATTATAATTGATATTATTGTATTAGAAATTAAGTGTAATTAATTGAATAATTTAGTAAATATACATAAATATTTAAATTTAGAACGATAATGAAACAAAAGCTACATTGAACAGTCTTAAAATGTTTATCAAATAAATGAATAAAAAATAAAGTAATAAATAATCGAAATATAAACGATGTCTGTGTTTTATGCTCAAAAGGAAAATAATAGAATGGTAAGAAAATAATTATTTCATAGTTCTTCCGGAGTATAGAAATGTGGTTTTAATATCTAAACTATACTCCTTTATTATATTTAGAGTTTTGATCAACACAAAAAATAACAACAGGGATAATTCTGAATGTAACATTGTGAAATACTTAAAATCTTATTCATATAAAAGAGTAAAAAAAATGTCGACAGATCATACCAACAGCTTATGTCTGATAATAAATTATATTTTGACTTGATTATTCAAAATGTTACCCTTTTATTGAGATGAATTCGAAGAAGTGCTACAATTCCATTTTGCATATGACCTAAGTCTGATATAGTTATTACGAATTTTTATTTGAGATAGTTTTATGTATTTTTTGGAAAATGTTTAATTTTTGTGGAGGAGGTAGTGGAAACAATAAAACAAATTATAATATTGATAAAAGTATTCAGATGTGCAATTATTATTTTTTCTAAATTTTGTATGATTGATTGGTAATCAATATTTTTATACCCTGCACCATTCTATGGAGGGTATATAAGCTTTGTCATTCCGTTTGTAACTCCTCGAAATATTCATAAGTATAACAGGGTGAGATGAGAAAACTCCAACCAACTTCAGACTGCTGTCATTTCAAAGCCACTTGTCCGATAGCTGTTAAAATTATTCCAGTGACAGCTCCTTATATTGTTTACAAGCGTACAAAAGCATTTTAATGAGAACTTCCCAGAAAAAAAGTTATTCGTGATGGAATTCAAGCGTTAGTGTGTTTTCTTTATATTTTGCTGAAAAACCACAAGTGGCTATCGGTAGAGAACCCCAAAATTTAAATGTGAATAAATCTTTTGTGCCTCGTACCATTGCTCGTTACCTCGTTAAAGGGTAAAGCCATTGAAATTCCAAAAAGTGCAAGAACTTACACCACAACAGAAAGAAAATAGACTCAAAAGAGCGAAAGAGTTGCTTCGCTTGGCCGAAAGTGGTGAACTGCCGAATTTGGTTTTCTCCGATGAGAAAATATTCGCTGTCCAGCAGTTTGTAAACAAACAAACTTATAGCGTTTACTTGCCAAAAAGGTCAGCTGGAAATGTGCACCTTCGGTTGGCCACCAGAACTCAAGCGCCGGCCGCTCTCCGCTAGTATTAATCGACCGTGGAATCAGAATAAATGCCGAATATTATCGCGAAAATATACTAGAGGGTGTAATAAAGCCTTGGGCACGCAAACATTTTGGCCGCAGACCTTAGACATTCCAACAGGACTAGCACCATCGCACTCAGCACGCGCCACCCAAGAATGGTTACGAAATTAGGTTCCTCGCTTCATTTCTAGCGCACAATGGCCACCAAAATTTCCGGATACCAATCCGTTGGACTATTGTGTCTGGAGTATTTCGGAAAGCAAGGTTGGCACTAAGAAATAACAAAGTGTCGATCACCTCAAACAAGTGCTTCGCCGGGAAAGGACCAAAATACCGCAGAGCAACATTCGGGCAGCTTGTGACGTTTTCATTGGCCGTTTGAAGGCCATAATTCATGCCAAAGGTGACGAATTCGAACAAATCTAAACTTATTCTAAAATTTGATGCTATTTCCGACATTTTTTGCTTTCATTTGTTTCAGGTTTTTTATCTCACCCTGTATATTAGGAGTTGCAAAGTTTGAATAAAATTGGATGCTGCTTTCTTGTTCTATAGGGTCAATTATTTTTAATAAAAATTTTGGACTTTCTGTGGGAGGTACTAGAAGGAGTGGGCCGATATTGCCCATTTGCAAACTCGATGTAGGTTTCACAATAATTACCAAGTTTGGATCAAATAAGTGACAGACTGATTCATCAACACCCAGGCGAAACGATTGAAGGTAGAATCTTGAAATTTTGTATGTGAGCCAATGTTAATGGGTTTTGCGCAAGCTCTAAATTTCGTAACTTTCGGTATTTTGTTAATGGATACGTTTAAAGTCTCGACATTTGATATAAAAGTTTAGTTGAGAGAGTGGAGCTGATATAAGTTGTTGTGTTTGTTCTAAACGATACCGAATTCGGTACAGTATCGTTTTGATTGAGCAGATTGATTTGGAACTTAAAATATTGGTGTTGGGGTCTCTGCTTGTGGTTAGGGTTAAGATAAGGACTTGGTATTGATATGCATCAACGGATATTGCTTCAAATCTGAAATTCGACATTAGGATTACCGTTATTGTGTAGGGTTGAGATTTGGAGGTGGTTTTGGAAATACGCACATAAAGTAGTAAATGGTACTAAATTTGGTATTTGGGTAAGAGATTGAGTTGGAAGACTAAAATTTGGCATTAAGATCACCTTTTGAGCGGTTTGGTTGATACATGGCGGGGAATTTGGAAATATGTACTATAACGTACGAAAAGTGCTAAACTTTTAGTATTTGGGGATGGAATGGCTGTATGGAATGATGGTCACTGCTGATGGGTAGCGTACGAAAGGTACTAAATGGCGCTTATATTGCTTGAAATCGGGCATTTCGATCATAGTTAGAGCATATAATCAAGATTTGGAGGTGGTTTTGGACATACGTACTAAAAAGCTCTACGTTTGATATATGAGTAAGGGATATGGCTGGAAATCTGAAGAAGGAGGAAATCTGAGATGGGATTAAAGTATGAAGTTGATTTTGAATAAACGTACCAAAAAGTACTAAATGATATACATTTTGGTATTTTATTCGGGGTGTTTTAGTCATAGTTTTTAAACAAATTTGCTGTAAATTTGCAGTTACACCAAGTTTTGTTGTAGTCCCCGTAATGCCACGACATTTTCCTCAAATTGCTGTTTGGGGTTCGTAATAGGCACCACCTTCTCTGCCAGATATTTGGCTATCATCTCCATCTTTTCCTTCAGTGAAACTATAATCGACAATTTCTATATTCGATATAATTACATTTGTAAACTTGCTGTTAGAGGACATTCAGGTCTTTCTAACTTCCCCTACAACCAGCCCATATCAGCCAACTCATTATTTGTATCTTTTGGCATAAGCCAAAAATAATGTTTTCAACCACGCCATGGCAAGCTTTTTAAAACATAATAAAAACATTAGCATTGTAAAATAAATTATCATGAACAGTTCGCGTTTTTGGTGCACCTTTTGACCTCAGCGATTGATGCTTTAAGAGGTGCAATCAAAAGTGCCGCTTAACTAACAATCAAATGCCACAACTTTCAACACATTTGTCAAAAGCAAACAAAAAATCAAATAAAAATCGATAACAGTTACAAATAAAAAGTTGTTTATTTCAGAAAAATTGGTAAATTTCAATAGATCAAAGGCTAAATTGGAGTGTTTGAATTTAATTGTGATTTTGTGTTCATTCGGGTTGGTCGTAGGGTATTATGAATATGGTCTGAATATGTTTTGAATCGATAAACATTAGAATATTACGGATTTATTTAAACAAAATAGTATGAGATCGAACCTACACAAAAATATTTCTGTTTGTTTGTGATACTAATTGAAAATATTTCATATCATTTTTGGTAAGCAAAGTTTGTTCAATGACAATTACATCTCAAAACCATAATTTGCATGCAATTCAATGTTGTACAATGATTGATTCAACATCGAATTCTTTGTTACGACATTTTATCAACAAACAATATTAAATTGAGAACAAAATTATTGAAAACCACATAGCTATTTACTTTAGGTGTGGCCGTGCTGTAATACTGTTGTAACTGTTGATATTCTTTTATAAAAAAAATACATATATTTGTTCAATATGTTTCTTTTGCTTTACATAATTTGGCTTTAACATATATAAATTACAGGTCCTTCAGATAACTTTTTTTTTAAATGCTATAAAAATAACTGCTGTATATTTTTTTTTAAAATTCTTTTTATTCAAAAATACAATTTCTGCGGTTAATAGTGGAGAGTAATTGTATTTAAATGTAGCCTTCGCGATCAATCCAATTTTTAAGCAATTATCGATTTTGTGCTGCTGTATTTTACCAATGCCCTCACTATTATTGTCCTTTAAAGCGTCAATTGTCTCTAGCCAACTGGAGTAACAAGCTTTGACAGTTTACATTGAAATGTAACCAAAATAGGGACCACAGATTCCTCAGAATCCTTGCTTTTAAGGTATATAGCATTTTGGGTAAACTTGTAGATAAAAATACAAGAGATATAGGAAATTGTACCCTTTAAGCGAGTTAACTTTTTAAAAAAAATATGATTAAAATTTTAATTAAGGCGGATGGTAGCAAGTCAACATATTCGACATAATTATTTATATCACCATCAAAGTTCCAAAAACCGAAATTATTTCCTAATTATACCTTATAACACTAGATGTTGGGGGTATTATAAGTTAAAGTCACAAATTATGTTACACCTCGAAATATTGGTCTGGCACATACAGGAATGTACAGGGTGAGATAAAAAAAAACTGCAACCAACTTCAGACTGCTATTATTTCTAAGCCACTAATCCGACATCTGTTAAAATTTTTAAAGTGACAGTCCATTATATTGTTTACAAGCGTACAAAAGCATTTTGGTGAGAATTTTTTCAGAAAAAATGTTATTCGTGATGAAATTCAAGAGTGATAGTGTGATTTCTTTATTTTTGGCTGGAAAACCACAAGTGGCTATCGTTAGAGCAATCCGTCATTTAAATGTGAATAAATCTTTTGTGTCTCGTACCAACCAACGA